CTGATGCCTGGGAAATATGTTGAATCCTAGTCTGTATGTTGGCTCAGGAATTCTGGGAATTGAAGTTCACATATCTTAAAGTTGCTGAGGTTGAGAAACATTGCTGTTGTCTCTCATGAGGCAGGGTTCTCAACAGTTGGAAAAATATGATTGTTTATTTGACATTCACAATCTTTTATTGAATGCTGCCTTTTTTGTTTCCTCGTCTCTGGATATTTCTGTATTCGTTTGTATTATTCCTTGTTATAAAGTGGTTACTGTTTTGCTCTGCTCTGCTCAATAAATCTTTGAACCTTCCACCTTCATGTTTATGTTCACCATTTCAAACAGACCTACCACCCATAATTTGTTCTGGCAAGAAACAACAATAGACAACTCAAGTTCAATAGCAGCCCCATTGTTTCGACATCCATGTGCCAATATATATGGGTCTTTAGAGTGTTCAAGATATTCTATACACCAATATTTTTCAGCATGCTTTCTATCAAAGCATTGGTTAAGCAGTTGTAAGGAACATGATTCCTTGTTTTCTAGTATTTATTTTAAAAAACAAATTACAATTATAAAATTTGTCTGATATCATTAGAATAGAACAGGGAGTAAGTAACACTCAAAACATTCAAGTGTATATCTTATATGGGTTACATTTCTAACAGAATTGGTAGCAGATATTTGGCAAAGCAAATAGTACTTACTTTAGGCTTTTAAGCTAGGAAATGAGTCATGACCACTGCACTCCAGAGAAATTGTATTCTGTCGAAGATTATACAAATTCCACTGGTTGCTGGGCATGGAGAAATTCTGCAGATTTCTTAGTTTTTCTCCCTAGACCTCCAATTTAACACTCTGCCAGTGGTCTAATTACTCCTATTCATGTTGAGCTGTATGTATGGATTTCTCTCCAGCCACACACACCTTTCTTTTTTTAGTATAACTAATGAAGCTCATCAAAGTCTGGAAAACAAGCTGGAACATCAACTACGTTCTGAGATATAACATGAAGGTTATGAGCTACTAATCTCCTTGCAGGATGTTCATGTAGCCAACATATTTACACAGAGATTTAAGTGCCACATTGCAACAGTTAGATTAGAAATAAATAGGGAAAAGTGTTTATACAATTTTCTATGGTCTGATTAATCTCTGAATTAATAGTTTTATACAAGAGTTCCTATGTGGTACTCAGAGAAAAATATTTCATTACCCATAAGAGGAAAGTGTGAAAGCAGACACATCCCATCTTCAGAATTTACATTGTTTACTTCCACATAAACAATGGTTTGTTTTGTTCTCTCTGCATTAATGTTCTTTCCAGAATCTCATGACTTTGTCCCTAAAACCAAATCCATACAAGATTCTTTCGGCTCCTTTCTTTTCACACTAACACTTCAACCTTAGAAAGAAAAAAACAGAAGCAGAAATATAAATTTAAGAACAATCATGTTGTCCAGGCTTTCCTGTTATTGATGGTGAAATGTTTTCCTCAGAATACTACATGGAGTGCTACAGAATTGGCAAAGCCCATCATGTTTGTGGGAATAGATACAAGTTAATAAAATTTGACAAATGAAGTATCGTACATACTTTCCTCCATAAATAAGGCTCCTTATCCTTCCTTCTATACATCTACACAGCTGTCATACCATTGAAGCTAGATTAAGTTAATGCTAAGGCAGCAGTCCACAAACCGTGGGCCATAATGCACTACCAGGCCATGGCCTGTTCGAAACCAGGCTGTGGGAGAGATGGGCAAGTATGTGCTGTGCTAGAAACAATTCCAAAAAGAAGCCCATTCTTTACTACTACTACTACTACTACTACTACTACTACTACCACCACCACCACCACCACCACCACCACCACTACCATCATCACCACCACCACCACCATCATCATCCAAAGAATAAAACCAAGGAAAAATACTCTGGCTATCCTTGATTCCCTTTTCTTGAGGCTGAAAAAAAAAGTCAGACAGGGAAGGTCAGAATCTCTGTAATTCTATGTTATCAGACGATCTTTTCCCATCATTGTGAAGAACAATTATTCTTGACTGCTCTGGAGGTCAATTAACAAACATTTTTCAGGAAAGCAGCAAGAAAAAGAAGGGGAAATACATTCCATATGGATGGCTACTGTTTTACCTTTCCCACCTAATTCATTTTTTAATCGGTATGCCTCTAAATTGGCCTACTGGGACTGCAAAGAACTTTCTATACAGAGTAGAAAGATTAGATTTCTATTAGGTTAGGTCACTTGAAAGTTAAAAGATATGGGTTTTATTAGGTACAGATTTGGGTATTTTTCTGAAACTGGGACAATTTTTTTGCATTTTGATACCATGGTGTGTGTGTGTGTGTGTGTGTGTGTGTATGCCTTTACACATACACACACACAGACACACACACATTTGACAGTGCAATGATAAAGCTATTGTATAGTCTACAATGATGGAACCTCTAAGAACAGTGTTTCCGAATTTCCTGTTCTCCAAATATGTTAAGAAAGAACATGACAAGATTTGCAATGGTGGCCTGATAATATATTTCACTGTACTTGCTGAGAATTCTAAGACCCCAATAAATCTAAAAGGGTGGTGATTGGAGAAAGTTGGTTTGGAAGATGAGTAGAGGAACTAATTGTTGGGGAATTAGCGAGAGTCTAAAAGAGGTAATAGTTTATGATGTTCTATATTACATATACTCTGCAACTCTGTACTGTTTTATAGTACATGCACTCTGTTTCTCAACCTTGGTAATGTGTGGACTTCAACTCCCAGAATTCCGTAATCTCCTGGCTGGGGTTGAAGTCCATACATATTAAAGTGACTGAGATAGAATAACACTGTTCTACATGAACTGAGACCATTATTAAACTCAGGAAGAAGGGATTGGGTATGTTAATCAGGGACATAAAGCTTATACTTTATGTAATAAAAAGAAAGAGCTAGATAATGATATCACCATGTATTTCAATCCAGATTTAAAGTAAGCATTTCATGTATTCGATTTTTCTACAGATAAACAAAGACTATTGTTCTTTGCATCAACTCCTATTTGAAAGACCACAGTTTTATTCCATTAGTGAATATCTAAACTGTTTTTAAAACTTTCAATATTTCAATATTTTTAAAGGTGACAGAATCAAACTGAATAACAGTCTAATAACAGCCTAAAAAACTATGTGAAAAACATTTATACAATGATATTTCAATGCACAATTTGCAATATTCTGTGGCAAAATGGAACTATAATCCCATTGTTGCTATTAAATAAACAAGCAAATATTAAAATGGTTATTTGTTCATTCCTTTATCATATTTCTACACCACCTATCTCAACTAAGTGACTCAGGGCAGTTTACAATAACAAAAAAATCATAAGATCAAAGCATAAATAAAACAGAATTAAAAACAGAATTAAAAAGTTAGGGTTACTATATTAAAAGTTAAAGAGCTCAAAGGTAGAGAGAACATTCTCATGATACCATTTACAAGGTTGCATATCACTCTTTGACTCCCATGCTAATTGGCAAAGCCAGGTCTTAACAATCTTTTTGAAGGCCAGAAGAGAAGGCATTCACCTCAATTCTGGAGGTAAGGTGTTCCGATGGGCAACAGCAGAGAAGGTTCTCTTCTTAAATCCCACCAGTCAAAAATTTTTAATCAATGGGATCTGCAATATACCCACTCTGCCTGAATAAATGGGATGGGACAATGTAACTGGGATGAGATGGTTTATCAGGTAACAATTTTCCTTAAGAGGGGAAGATGGGAGACTGAACAAAAATGAAGAGTGGTAGGGTCCAGTGATGACTTATTGAGAAGTGGACACACCAGCTGTCCTGAAATATCCTCTCGCTAAGGCCACATTAACAATCACTAGATCCACCTGCATGTCATCTCCTTAGCAACCTCTACCTGCCAGGAGAAGGATAGATCCAAATCCAAGGTGGCTACACGTATAATCCTAAGAACCATATCCACTTTTCTCAGGTACAACAGAATTAAACTTTCCCAGGTAATTGGGCAAGAAATTCCCAAGGTATCTCCAATGGACTTGCTTCATGTTTGGTCTGTAATTGAGAATGGATTTGAGTTATTTTATCCACTAGGTGCATGGAAAATTCTTCAGCTCAACTCTGAAGATGAACCTCAGAATCCTCTTTACTCAAAAGGTAATAGACGACCCTAATGGCACTTTGCAGATGCAGGAATAGCATACAAAAACTGACATTTCTTCACTCTTAACGCTATGAGGTAATTCTTAATAGTAGCTCTAACTTATAATCAATCAAATTCATCCCTTATCTTCCTCCATTGAAGAACATATTGAATCCTCTTCATCTCTTTTTAAATTAAAATGTTCTGGCTGATCTGGAGTTGGTTGGATGACGTCTGTTCAAACCCATTGATTTCACATTCAAAATGGCACCAGTAATATATGGCTTTACCAAACTATAACAACCATCTATTCTGAACAATAAACACAGCAAATATTACATCAAAAACACATTATCAAAACAAATTACATTTTATCAATTTTTCTTGTACTGTTATTATGGCAGGATAATTCATGGTCATCATTTGTAACCAAAAACTGAAGTTCATTTATGCATATGTTAACCTCCATAGCTAATTCTTTGTCATGAATTAGGTAATTATTTCATTTATTATATAAATTGTATATGGTAGTTAATGGCTCACATTAAAACTATATTAGAAATCTTGGTAATTTTTGAGAATGAACTAAATATCTGGAGATGAGCATTCAAAGCTATTGCCAAAGGTTCCGTAGCTATGTACTGATATAAGTCAGACTAACTGAGGAGAAAGTTGGGTTTGAAGCTACTAGCAAATTATATGTGCACAGAAACAAATGCTGTTTTAAAAAAGGTATGGCAAATACAAAGAGGAAGTTGCAGATAGCAGTACACATTTCTATTGAATTATTCTGTTAATTCATATGACCCATTCACAGAGAACATTCTCTGTCCACACTTACCTGACCTAGAGATGGAAGAGTTCCATAAGCTACTGGCTGGTTCATCATTCCTTTCTGCTTCAAAATAAGTATGCGCTTCTGCTCCTCACTCAAAGGTGTCATTTGAGCCTGAATTGGTGGCTGTTGGGGAATCTGTTGCTGTTGTTGCTGGATATATGGCATCATAGGACTCTTGTTGGAATTGGACATTGGTGGAGTCATCCTTTGACTAAGATCAGCATTGAAATGAGACAGAGGTTTAGTGTTGCCATAAGAAAGCATATTGCCTTGTTTGTTCAAAGAGTTTGTACCCAGATTATTTGGCTGCTGACTAATCATATTGATATGGTTTTGAGGGAGGTAGTTATTTATTATAGTCTTTTGTGAGTTGTTTGCCGTGGGAGGCACTGCAGGATTTTGGTTGTTAAAGGCTTGGGGGTACATCATCGGGCTATTTGGTTTATCTGTACTGAAAGGTCCTCCATAAGGACTAGATGGAGGCCCCACTGGCGACCAGCTAGATACTTGGTTTGGATGCTGTGGTGGGGGTGGCTGCTGCTGCTGTTTCTGCTGCATCAGCTTAGCCCGCTGCTGCTGCTGGGCTGCCATCTGCTTCAACTGCTCAGCTGGAGACAAGTCAGTGCTAGTCACAGTTACTTGGCTAGGCCCTGGGCCTGCTGTTGTCACTGTTGTTGGATTCATGTGGAAACCACTGCCTGGTCGTGACTGAGTTTGGTTTGAGAGGTGTGCTTGGTTGGGAGTCTGAGGGGACTGAACCACACAGTTTGCTAGTGAACTATCCAGGCTTGGAGGCGGAGGACCATTAGAGACTGAAGGGAGGCTGGAACCTGTAGGGATATTTGAAAATGGAGGCCCTGATGATGATGGTCTTACTTGGGGAGAGCCTGTTGGTAAGTGAGCAAATGGAGAATGACATGGATCACTTTTAACACTGGCAGTCTCCTGAATCTCAGTGGCTGGTCTCGGAAATTCAGGTTCCTTTTTCTCTTCAAAGTCTTCATTGAACAAATCTTGTATATCATCTTCTGGAACAGTGTTAGCTAGCTCATCTATTAATTCCTGCCACTCCTGATCATTCAGGTTAATGTCTGAAAAGAGTTTATTCTGATTGGAAAGGGATGTGTCAGAATTGTCAGTGCAGTTGGGATCATCCAAGGGCTCCTGTTTCAGTTCTTTGTTGCTGCTACTATTGTTGTGCAGAATGTTAAAACTATCTTCAAGCTCGGTACATCCATTGATTGAGAGTTTTAGGTCAGAAGGTCCACCATTTTTACCTAAGTCTTCCAGGGTACCCTCATTAATTCCACTGTTTTTCAGGGGCAAAGATGGCTTTAGGTCAAGCTGGTGAAGAGGAGAAATAGAAGACAAAGGCAAACTGTTTGGCAAACTACTGAGTCTCTCAATCCCAGGTACATCTTTCCGTATCCGCTTATTAGTTGGAGAGAAGCTTCTGTCACAGGCACCATTCTGCTGTTCTCCATTGAGGGGTGAGCGTGCTCCTTCTAATTTTCTCTTCACTGTCTCTTGAAGCTTGAACAGAAAAGAAAAAGTAATTGTTTCAACATCTGTCCATTTCTATGTTTTATAAATCATCATAACTGTATACAGAAAGTTATACTAATTTATTATGAGTCATAAAGACTATGTTGTCTCAAAACATTCTGAGTTTGATTTCTGGACTTTAGTTAAACTTATTGGAATAATACAAAACTTTAGAGACACAATTTATTCTCACAAATGGATGTGTGAGGATTATTGCACTATTATAATTAGCTATAAGCTATTCTAACACATTAACCAGAATGAAGTGGTAGACTGGAATGAAGCTACTATTTCAATGAGTGGTCTATTTCAAACACTAAAAATGACTATATCTAGTACCAGCATACCATCTAGCCATCTCCATAATATATCCATTTGCTATGTAAGTAGGAAACTTCCAGAAAGCAGCCTTACGTGACTCTCCCACATGCTATGTAAAGAGGCACTGTTGAAAATTTCCCATTGCACTTTAATTTCAGGAGTTTTTATATCATGGGTTTTAAAAATACACTATTATAACACCACAATTATCTGTTTTGCCACATGTTGCTAGGTGAAACCAATAAACAAAATTAAACAAATAGTCCTCAGCACAACAGTTGTTATTTGAGAAGCACTTTTCCTACTTCAGCTTGCAAGAAAATCTAGTGATTTCTGCCAACAGACTTTCTTTTTCATTATATACACACTTTACATCAGTTACAATATATACACCATAATGGAACATTTCCCAATATAATGCATTGAATAACCAAGGCAAGTACTTATTATATTGAATAAACTGCACAGCCAATCGTTTACTAGTAAAAATGTGCAGACCACCTCAGCCAAATGAATCTGGCTGAGAAAAAAACAGCTAGGATAAGGTAGGCCGTATTGCCATTTCTCCCCAATTCAACCTGCCCTTCAGGTTTATATTGATTGTTTCTTCTCCTTTCAAATGCATGTTAGACAGAAAAGTACTTCATGGGACCTTCAGTTCAAGAGTGCGATGTAACAAGTTCACTGAAACATGCAGTTCCCATCCCTTTATTTTATGTAAGCCTACCATACTATCATCTGAACATTCAGTAAATTGTCAATCAATATTGTAGCGCCTCTGAGCAATGTGGTAAATGACCAGGTAATGCCCAAGAGATCACACAATTATTTTTTTATTTAAAAATATAAAATTTAATAACAGTGACAAACCTCAGAGCCCCTTTTTGATCCCATTTGAAATGAGGACTCATCAGTATTTGGATGGCATACCTCAAGAAAATGCTAGTGCTACAGGCTTGATGAAAAAAAAAATTATTATTTATTATTTTTTATTGAATTTATACACCACCTATCTGGCTGTTTGAGGTGACTCTGGGCAGTTTGCAATATAATAAAAAATAGAAATCTAACAACCATTAAAGATATAGAAACAGATTAAAATTAAAAAAGATTAAATACAAAATAAAAGACCACAACGTTAGAGCAGAGTGGCAGTGGTGCATTCTGTCACTGCACCAACCACCTAGAGCCTACAGCTATCAGGGCCCCATGCCAACCAGCAGATCCAGATTTTAAGGCTCTTCCTAAGACCAAGAGGATGGGGACAGATCTCACCTCTGGTGGCGAGATGTTTCATGGTGCGGCATGACTTTTCTCCAGCCAAACTCCTTGGCTGATGGGGACCACAGTAGGCCCTTTCTGTCAGAAACGGTGGGGTGGGCAAACCCCACTGGGGAAAGACAGATCCTCTGATATTCTGGACCCATGCCATAAAGGCTTTAAAGCAGGGATGGGATCCGACTGATAGAACTACCAGTTCGGTTGCTCTGCGTCGTGCGCGCATGTGCCCGGACAGCTGAGCAGTGCTACGCATGGGCGTGCAGTGGTTGGAAAAGCCCTTTTTTTCCTGCTTTTTCAACCACAGCTGTGTCGCGCAAACCGCTGTGGTTGAAAAAGCAGAAAATAAAGGTCAAGTAACAGCCTGGGTGGGTGGGTGGGCCAAAAGAGCAGCTGACATAGAACCAGTTCTATGTCTGCTGCTCCTCAGAGCTACTGGTTCTACAGAGGTGGACAGAACTGGTAGAAACGCACCCCTGCTTTAAAGGTGATGGCTAACACCTTGAATTGGACCTGGAAGCAGATCAGCAGCCAGTGCAGTTTGCATAATAATAGTGTTACATGTGCCATGACACCCTAAGTGCTTCCAGAACTATTCTCATTGTTGCACTCTGGACCAATTGTAGTTTCTGAATACTCTTCAAGATAGCCCTATGTAGAGTGCATTATAACAAACCAAATAAGAGATGACCTGGGTAGGAGCCACTGAGTGCAAACCGGCAGCTTTAAAAAATAGTGTTTTGCTGCTAATTTTAATGGAAGACTCCTAGGTTGCTGGGACCTGCAGGAAGCACAGTGTCTGTAAATAACTACAACTGCTTTAAACAAAGAAACAAGACAAGAAAACTGCACCTGTTAATTTCAAACATTCCCAGAATTCTTAGTTTTAGATTACCTACATCTTATTTTTTCTTCAGCTTTCTTTAATCTGGGACTCTTCAGGTTATTAGTAAATTACCGTAAAAACTTCCATAATCCTTCTCCAACATGACATAGAAGAAAATATATTAGGTAACACCAAGTCCTTTAATAAACTACAAAAACTGTTTTGTATTACGTAATACCAGGTAAAATCAGCGTTTGTTGTATATGTCTGAAATGAATCTACAAAAATGGAAAACACTGTTATAAGTAATGTGATAGACCATAAACTTAGATTTAATGAATGCACTTTTTGCTAGAGTAGGTAAAAAGACACTATAAAAAGACACATTATAAGAAATAAACTTCAGTAGTCATACAAAACAACATTAAGAATTTTACAGAAGCTCTTAATAATACACACACACACATGTTCCATTTCTTAAGATATAATTTGATAAGAAAGTCTCTTGTATATGAATGTTTTCATATACAAGAGACTGCCCCTCCCCTCCCAGGAGTCCCACGTGGCCCATTTTGGATGCCAGGTAAGGACAGGGCCCACACAGAGGTTTGGGAAGGATGAAAAATGGGCCTCCCAGAGGCTCCAGAAGCCCAGAAACGGACCTGTTTCCGGGCTCCAGAGGGACTCCATTTCCAGGAGGCTCGAGGAAAGCCTCCAGAGCCTGGAGAGGAAGAAAAACAGGCCTCCCAGAAGTTCAGGAACGTCAAAAATGGGCTCATTTCCAGCCTCCAAAGGACCTCTGGCGCCCGGGGAGGCCATTTTCGCCTCCTGGAGGAAAGCCTCCCGGAGCCAGGGAGGGTGAAAATGCTCCCTCCCGCCGTGGTGCAGGAGGTCAACTAGGCCACTCCCACCCTGGCCACACCCACCCAGCAACCGATCAGAGAACTGGTTGCTAAATTTTTTCAAGTCCACTCCTGCCTACATGTATATAAATTTACTTTTTCAGCATTTAGGAACATTGTTTTTTTCATCACAGGAATGTGCTAAAGCTGTTAGGAGACCTTCAGCATGTAACTGATTAAGGTCTTGCCAATTTCGGGCAACAGGTAAGCTGCCCGGGGCACTAATCAACTAATTAAGGTCACAGAGCTGAGCTTGTTAATTTGCGGTTAGCACTTAGTAGAGAAGTGATGGGCCCTGGAGAAAACTGCTTAGGAAGAGGTAACTTGTTAAGATACTCAAAAATCCACACAATATTTGATTTTAAGGCTGGATTGAGGACATGAGGACAAAAACAGGGATATGTCTTCCTTTTGCTGGACATCTGGTAATGCTATTTCAGAGACAGGGAAAAATGTTCAGGATTTTAAACATTCTTGTTGTATGAAGCTAATATTTCATTTTTTGATATGATTAGTTTATGTCAATTACAAAGACACAAAATTCATCTGATGATGTAAAGAATAAAGATAAAGTACTATACTGTACTATACTGTACTCTACTCCAGTGATCCCCAACCTTTTTTATGCCGCGGCCCGGTACTGGCATCAGCTGGGCGCCGCCATCTTTTTTTGATGAAAAAGTGCTTCCGGTGAGCTTTCTACCCGGAAAAGCTCACCAGAAGCGCTGGCGCCGCCATCTGTTTTTGATGAAAAAGTGCTTCCGGTGAGCTTTCTATCTGGAAAAGCTCACCGGAAGCACCTTTTTATCAAAAAAAGATGGCGGCGCCCAGCAACCAGCGGCCCGGTAAGACTTGTTCTGCGGACCAGTACCGGTCTGCGGACCGGTGGTTGGGGACCCCTGCTCTACTCTACTCTATTCCATTCTACTTTATTCTAAGCTTTGGTCATCATGAACAATATTGCCAGAACTACTACATTCCAAACAATATATTGAAATTAACTGGAATGAAAATATGCTGAAATTCATTGGAATCGTAGTGTCTAAATGCACAGCAATTAGCATGATTCAGTGACTTCTTAAGTTACATTTAGAGGACATTTATTGCTCCCCAAGGATAGGTAAAACTTTAGAATAATATAATACACTTACTTTCTTAAACTTACACAATATCCTGAACTAAATGGCATAGACACTTAGAAATATGGTAAGACCACCTTTTCCTGGCCGAGAAAGTTAGATTATGGAGGATCACTAGTTTATCAGGAATTTTATTCCAAAATGTAACATCGCAAACATCTAAATTTAATTTCATGTATATTTAAACTTAAGTATGATTCAATGTGATATGGTGAGTCCTCGACTTGCACACAATTGGGACCAAGATTTCCAATACTAAGCAAAATGGTTGCTAAGTAAGTCAACATTTTACTATGTTTTATGCCATGGTTGTTAAACAAATCCCTGCAGTAGTTAAGTAAATCTTGTGGGTTGTTAAAATTAATCCAGCTTCCCCCATTGACTTTGCTTGTCATAAGCAGTCTGGAAAGGTTGCAAATGGCAACCACATGACCCCGGAATGCTGCAATCGTTATAAATATATACTAGTTACCAAGTGCCTGAATTTTGATCATGGGAACATGGGAAAGCTGTGACGGTCGT